TTCTCTTTGAAGCGCTAGAATGTGTTCTAGCATTCAGTAGTGCTCAATTAACATTACTGAATGAATACAGAGAGTAATACCAGTGCTTTAGTCCTTACCTATTACTAACTCCCCAATTTGGGGCACGTTATTTAACATCTGTGGTCTTCCATCTGCAAAACAGGTATAAGTAGGGTTGTGAGGATTAACTACTCAATACTTTGAATAGTACCTGAAACATGGTAAGGGCTAARACATATATTCTCACCTATATATGGATGTATATTATCATCATTATTATGATCAATAATAAAAATTACTATATCAGTTTACTTGTGTTACATTCACATTTTACATGCTGGATGAAAAGGTGTTCTTTATAGCATTCCCTCTGGAAAAAACACTGGAGTAGGAATTGAAAATGACTTTTTAAATGGTCTTTCAGGTGATCCAATAAGTTCAAAAAAATGAAATCTCTATAAAGTCTTTTCTCCCCCATCCCTTCTATTCTCACACAAATTTTTAAACATTACCAAAATACACATTTTGGGTAAAAATCTTAGGGCGTGCTTTACTTTAAGAGCRAGTAAAAGACCTCACTCACTGCAAGACAAGATACTTTCAGGACAGGAGGAAGTGAGCTGTGTAACAGCACACTGAGACACATAAATATGATAATTATGATCATGATGAAAAAGTGGAAGGTGGTAAGCAGAGGCCTATTCTGGGGAAGCCAGAATTTCCATTTCTTCGGTCCTCTGAAAATACCATCTCCAGGAGGACAGGAATTCTATAAAGCAGCTAGCTATTTTGTAAACAGGAAATAGGAAAAAAAAAAAAGGAGTATCGGAGATATTCCCCATGATAATGCAAAATGAAGGCAAGACAAAAAGAGTACCTCAAGAGGGATAAATAAAAGATAGAAGCAAAACTAGATAAATTGGTTCTACACATGAATAATCTGCCCCSAATAACAATGCTACAGAGGTATGTATATTGGCATGGAAAGAAATTCTCAACATATTATTGTGCAAAATCAGCAAGCAACAAAGCAGAACACAAAGTGAAATGTCATATTTTCATAATCTCTAATTCTCTACAGTGATATCCGTAATTCTAGTTCCTACTTAGAATATCAGTGGTTATCCCTGACAATGACATCACAATACCATGGATAATTTCACCTTTGTATTTTTCTTTATTTCCTCATATTTCATTATTATTACAGCATTAGTATTAAAGAAAAGCAACCTTTTAAAACAAAAACTAATGTGTCAAAAAAATTGAATGGGTTACATAATTAAGGACAAAAATAAAAGATTAGAAAAATTTTCCAAGGATAACTAAAGGCAAGAATAAGCTACATTCTCAATATTAAACGTTTAATACTTATTTTTCAAAAGGAGTTATGTTGAAGCCAGATTAAGTAAAAAGCCTGCTGGTAGAGGCACAATGGCGTCATGTTGATAGACAAAAAAAAAAAAAAAAAAAAAAAAAAAAAAGTTGCAGTGGTGCACACCTGTAATCCCAGTGGCTTGGGAGGCTGAGGCAGGAGAATCATCAGTTCAAAGCCAGCCTCAGCAACAGCGAGGCTCTAAGCAACTCAGTGAAACTCTGTCTCTGAATAAAATACAAAAAAGGGCTGGCGATGTGGCTCAGTGGTTGAGTGTCCCTGGGTTCAATCCCTGGTACCCCCCAAAACAAAAACAAAATTAGGACAACTTAGCATCCATTCTCCCATCTGCAAAGGGAAAAGTAATAGAAAAAGTCCCCAAGACCTGAAGAGGTAGAGGGACTGTTAGCCACTCTGGATATGCCTAAGTCTCTGGGACCCAGAAATAAGTCAGCAACCTTACTGCAAAATTAGTGCCAGGAATGTGTTGGAAAAGAGAGAAACACCAGCAACCTGTTGTGTAGGAGTCAGATATAAAATAAAAATCTGACTGCCTGTTCCTAACTCTGAAGCTACTCAGGGAATTTGTTCGCCTTTCTAACTTTCAATTTCCTGATTTATAAAATGGAATTCATAATAATAAAATTCTRTGCATGCTGATGAATGGTAAGGGCCTAATTAGATGCCAGACATATTAGACACTCAATAAATACATTGCAGCTAGACACTGCTTTTTAAAAGGCTGGGTGTGGAAACTAGGTATCTGTGTAGCTGGCCAAATTTTAATCCTTAATTTTTCATAATTTAAGCCTGGGATTCTAGATTCATCAGTAATTCATCACCTTACCCACTGATAAGGTATCTGAAAGGCAGAATTGGGAAACAGCTGGGAGAAGTAAACACCCTTCAGAACCAGAGCTTGCAAAGAGCCACATCTGTCACCTAGGGCATGTTTCCTTTCTTAAACAGAGGAAGAGATTTTCTTGGGGATAATGATAACAAACTGAAAGCTATTCAGTGCTTTATTCTGGCCCACAAGATTAGGCCAGGATGTGCACAACAGCCCTGGAATATACTGCAAAGTCCTGTGGCAAATGCCTGCAGTTCCACAGACTCAGGATACCAAGGCAGGAGGATCTCAAGTTTGGGGCCAGCCTAGGCAACTTAGCAAGGTCCTAAGCAACTTAGTAACTTAGTGAAACCCTGTCTCAAAATACAAAAAGGACTGAGGGTGTGGCTTATTGGTAAAGTACCCCTGGGTTCCATCTCTAGTACCAAAAAAAGAAGAAAAAAAGAAAGAAAGAAATCTAAGAAGAGAGCTTCTGAAGTGAGAAGTATTTTCAGTAGATGGGGGGGAGGGGAATGCCACCTCTGACCAATCCATAAAACCTCTTTACCATTTGTGTTAAAAATGTACTACCAGTCAACTGAGGATTAAGTTTACACATAAGAAAGGAAATAAACTAAGCAATACAAATTATACTCCAAGAAACTCTTAACAGTTTTCTATCTTCTTTTATTCTAATACTGTTTTCTAATCAGCTGCAATAGCATTTTATCTAGAAACTCATAGCAGAATGGTTTTGAGACTGGGTTTTGGTCCTGGCTCCATGGTCAACCAACCTCTTTGTTCTTCAGTTTCATTATTAAAAAACAAAAACAAAACAACAGCAACAACAAAAAACCCCTACAATTTTATAAGGTTATTGTGAGAATTAGATGAGTTACAGACATTCAGAATAATGTTTGGGCACTAATTATTTGTCATTATCATTATCTCCTTAAATTCTATGTAGTGGCATTACTAAACAGAAATAAGGGGAGGAAGGTCTCCATTACAATGAAAATCGATAGCTAGAACTGGCCTTTTTTCATTCTGGGTTAGATAACTGATTACTATATTCCTTTCTAAAAATTTACAATCTTAAAGTATGATTCTAATTCAGTTAAAAAGTACAAATTAAAAACATGGAAAAAATACATCTAAGCATTTAAAGTGGCTGTTTCTGTATTATAAGTTTAAGGCTGATCTCTTCCCTCCCTGCATCTATCAATCTTCTTAAAAAGAACTTCCAGAGTGTTCTAAACTGTACACTGATTTCATAACCAGGAAAGAAAATTACTCTTGACACTATATCATTTTTTCTTAATATCTATGTTTCCTTTTTAATATTTATTTATTTATCTACTTTTTTTTTTTTTATGTTTTGAGCTGTGGTGTGTTGCCCAGGTGTCCTGGAATTCCCAGACCTAAGTCCTTCCACCTYAGCCTCCTGAGTTGCTGGGACCATAGGAATATGCCACCACACTTGGCTTCTTATTTAATACTGCTTCCAAATATGAAAACAGCATCTGGCTTCCCAATGTCATCATCTTATAGGTTTTTCACTTCTTCCAATTCCAAAATTGAGAAAAAGATACAAATTATAAACATAAAATGAGAAGGACAATTTTGTTTTACCTAAGCACTTCACATCTTTCACCAGCAAATGAATATTTATTTTCTTTTCAGAGTAATCACATTGTAAGACCACAAATTTTATTAAGATAAGCCAGTATGGCAGTCTTTTTCTGAAAACTTCACAAAGTCACATAAATCAGACCATCTTAATCTTTAATGCAACTCAAGTCAACCACATAAAGTGTGCACCTGAGCCAGGCACAATGGTGCACATCTGTAATCCCAACAACTGGGGAGACTGAGGCAGAAGGATTGCAAATTAGAAGCCAGCCTCAGCAACTTGGTGAAGCCCTAGCAACTTAGCAAGACACTGTCTCAAAATAAAAAGTAAAAAGGGTTGGGGATGTGGCTCAATGGTAAAGCACCCCTGATTTCAATCCCTAGTTTAAAAGAAAAAAAAAAAAAAAAAAAAGAATACCTGATATTTAAGCTAGGCCTACAAATACAATAGACTATACAAGCGTATTTTTTAAAAACTACATATATAAGCAAGGCTGAATCCTAAGGTTGAATAAAACGTTAGGTAGGACACAATTTAGATGAAGTAAACAAGATGCAAATAACACTGTATTATTTCTAGAGAAAGACACTGTACATACAGGCACTGAGGCTTCATTCCCATCAGTTTAGGTAAGAAGGCTGTGGGAATGGACAGTGCTAACAATGTTCCCAGGACTCTGGCTCAGTGTTTTGAAAAGGAACAGCTTTCCACTTTCCCCTAGCTGGGGAATATGGTTGTATGAGTACAGATTTCCAGTGCATTTTGGTGACAAAAACTATCCCAGAGCTTTCTGCACAAAGCTCAGAAGCTTTTCTGCCTCTCCTAAGCCATCACAGGGGTGGGCATGGGGCAGGAACTTTAATTTGCCATCTCCAGCTCATCATTTGCTCTTGAAGTTATGCCAAACTTACCCCTGCCATGGGATAAAAGAGGAAAGGCTTCGCATTTGGACATTTCTCCTTTAAAACTGCAACTGAGAATGCAGGACACTAGTTGGGGCAATTCTACCTGAAGGTGCTAATGTCTTGGCACTGAGCACATGATGTAGGTGGGGCTACCTTCACACTGCCATTATAGGCCAGCTCCTGGGCGATCCCAGTAGGCAATCTGTGATTCAAACAAAGGACTCTTTGAAGGTGAGGACAAAACATAGGCAAGGGACTTACGGAGAGTTCAACAACTGTCCTGATGGCCTTGTCTTTTCTCTTTATGAAGTCATCATCCTGCAAGACAAAACAGGCATAAACAAACCCGAGGTTACTACAGATTACTCAACTGGACTCCTTAAAAATCTGCCTTATAAACTGGCTTCTCATTACTATTTTACCAGAAGCCATTTCAATTATCCTAAGATGGGATATATTCTTTAAGGAAAAACATGAGGATCTATGCAGATGGCCCTAACACAGATCCCTACAAACAGGAAGAAAAAGGAATGCCGCGGAGTGTAGTGGTTTAGATAAGTGTTGTTCTCATTTCAGATCTCATCAGTGCCAAAGTGTCAGGTAAGATGCCTAACCTCAACACCTCAGTTTCTCTATCTGTAAAACAGAGACGATCATTAGGATTAAAGAAGTCAAATGTGGGCTGGGGTTGTGGCTCAGTGGTAAAGCACTTGCCTAGCATGTGTGAAAAACTGGGCTTGATTCTCAGCACTGAATATAAATTAATGAAATAAAGGTCCATCAACAACTAAAAAAAAAATTTAAAAAAAGAAACCAAATGCTGTGCTAAGATTATTATTGTTACTACAACTACTATAAATTATTACTACAGAAATGCTCTACACAAGTAAGTGTCTCTCAAAAAGCTTTATACAAAAATACACTCTTACTCATGTAATTCAAAAAAGATCTGGATCAAGTACTAAAATTCAAAGAAAATGATATAGGGCTTCAGACTCAGTGGCCATTTAGAGAGGCAGTTCTAATGAACCACAAGGCCCTGTTTCATTGCTGCCTGAGGAGGGGTGGAGATGCCAAGCAAGGAGTTGGGAATGGGGGCTTAAGCTTGCTCCACCCCCTCCTCGGTGGTCTCTATAAGTGTACACTTGTGGTCTCGGTGGAGAAGAGAGAAAAAGCACAATACTAACCTCAGGGAGACTGTAGGTTTTCTGGAACTGTGATATGGAGTAAGAGCGAATGTAGTCACCCATTTCTTCTTTTGTTTCTATAGCTCGTTTCACTAGCCACTGGGGAAGGAAGTGAGGAAACATGAGTTGATAGGGATGATATCCCATGGCAGTAAAGGCCCACTTAGAGATAGCACATCTTGTGAACTGAAATCAGCATGGTTGAACTGACCAGGTGTTAAGAAACTGTCAACACACGCTAACATGTAGGAAAAGCACTGGCTGGGCATCCAAGCTACTGATACAGTGGGGACCAGTGCTTTTACACAGTGGTCACAGTGCTGAGTGGCTACATTGAAGCATAGAGCCATTTCCCACATTCTCAGGCCTCAGACTGTCTCTGCAAAGGGAAGAAGATTAGTTGCTTGATATTCTTGACAACACAGTGCTACTACAGAAGCAAATGAAATCATAGCACCCAAGTGCTTTGTAAATATCTGAAGCACAAGGCAAATAGAGGTATTTCCCCAACCACTATTCCCAGTGGCAGATCATAACATAAACCTCTCTTTCCTATGCTTACACCACAGCCCAGGGAAAGGGGAGAGTGCCATAGCAAACACCTAGTAAATCCCCTTGCTTGATAGAGGAAGAATATCCCTACAATATTCTAATTTGCAAACAATGTGTACTGCATATAGAGCCCAAGGAGGTATATGGTTCAGCTGATATAACATCCTCTCTTTTGATCCTCATGATGTTATAAGGTAAAAGGTACTGGCTTGGTTTTACAGAACCTGAGGTACAGAGACACTATGTAAGTTTCTCAGTGATCTGTAACTGCAAAGCTGGGAGTCACACAACTCAGAGGCTCTTGTACCAGATGACTGGACAAGTGGATTTTATTACCCATCTGAGCGTTTTCCTAGCTGTTACCTAGAAGCTGTTGCTCTTTCTACTCTTCAACTTAAAACTCCAGTTAATTAAAACACACACACACACACACACACACACACACACACACACACACACCCACCCACCCATATCCTGCAGAAAAGCCAGGTACTGAGGGTTAAGAGTGGTGTAAGGTACAGAAGGAGCCTTTACTTCTCCCCCATGTTCTTCATGCATTCCCTTCATTACTGAAGGATAAAAAAAAAAGGGGAAGCCATTTGTCAGGGCTGCAGCTTACTATCTGGAAAGACCACTACGTTGCCAAAACGGATTTTGATTAGTAGTTGTGTTTTACCACAGCATACTTGGTGAAGTATAGCTGCCTAGGAAAGTAGACATATGACCCACAGCAAGGTACTTCTACAGGAATGAGAAGAAATACTGTCAGAGGGCAGCCAGCTTACATAAAGTGAAGAACATATTTAGGAAGTGGCTGACCAAGACGGGGTGTCTGCAGGTAGCTTTATGTGGAATATTTCTTTGTTGTTAGTATCTTCCATTTATTTCCACTACTTTACCCACCCCACCTCTATCCAATAACCTCAGGCACTGACTGAAATATAAAGCAGAGGCAGAACAGACAGCACACAACACTACTACAGCCCCTCACCCACACTCAAACCCCAGTACCATGGCCCAGGATCATTAGGAATGAAACTACTATATGACCAAGTTATACCACTCTTCAGTATTCCAAATGAATTATTAAAGTCAGTATACTAGTGATATACACATACCCATGTATCATGCTGGTGATACACAGAACCAGTATAGGTGTGTCAACAAATGAATGAACAAAGAAATGTGGCATATTTCCTTTGTGTATTCAGCCACAAAGGAAAATGCAAAATAAGTCAGACACAGAAGGTCAAGGGTCATATGTGGAAGCTAGAGAAAAAAGGGAAAAGGGACCTCAATCAAATGGAAAGGAGACTAATTAGGCAGGGGAATGGTATCAGAGAGGAAAGGAGAAGAGAAAGAGGATGTATTGGTGAATCAAACTGATCAAATTAGGTTATATGCATGTATAAATATCCCATAATGATACCCTTTATTTTGCATAATTACTATGCTCCAATAAAAAAGTAAAAAAAAATGTTTTTGCTTGGCCAACTACAAATGCCAACCCTACACCAACCTCTCTTTATGCTTCAAAATTGTAAAGGTTCACTAAATTAAGAAGTCTGTTAACCACCAGTCAAGGCTCTTCTATCTAGACAAGAACTTCTCTAGCACTGCACTCCCAATGTGGAACATTCACAGACCCCTGAAATGTTAAACTGACTGGAGATGACTTGCCATTCATTTTCTTATATCAGGATTGGATTTAAAAAAAAAAAAAAAAAAAAAAAACACCTCCAAAGTTCTACTATAGGATACAGTAAGGTCTAATTCCTAGAGAGTCATGCTTTGGGGAAAGGAAACCTCTTTATAGTAGGACAGTATTGGAGGTTTCAGCAATCATCAACACCAAGGTCTGACTTTCTATTATCACAAAAAGAATAGAGTAAAATCTTCCTGAGTCAGAGACAGAAAGTCTAACAAACATACAGATTAATTTCTGAATTAGACTCTCAACCTCATATTTATAAATTTCATTGAGAAATCTATAAAATTTGTAGATTTGATTTGAAGTCTAGCGCTCAGGAAGACTCAAACAATAAGACAGACTGCTATTTGACACTTATAAAGCACTAAGACATGCCAGTCCTTCATCCAAGTACTTACACATATTAACTTCTCAGTTATTACTTCTATTTAAGATATAAGAAATTAAGTCATTTGCCCATGGTCACACAGCTAGAAGTGGCAAAGCTGAGATTTGAACCTAGGAGGTCTCCTACATGAAGAAAAGCTTTGCAACTTACTTCTCAGTACCTGCATGAATGACAGAGTGGGAAAGGCACAAGGCTTATAGATAGGAGTATAGGCTGGAATCTATGCTTGTCCGCTCACTAGTTCTCTAGCTTTACAAAAACTAATTACCTTCTGAGTCTCACTTTCCTCAAAGGTAGGACTGGAATTGCATTAGATGCTTCAAACAACAGTATTAGGATCAGATGCAAAATACTGTTCACACAGCAGGGAATGAGCATAAGTGCCTCTGCTCCTCCTCTTTTTCAGGTGCTTGGAGAAGATGCCCAGAAACAAGAACCACAAAAAATACAGACAGCTTTTAAGCACAGGCCACTTAATCTAAGTGGCTTGAGAAAAAACCACATAGGGAGAAGTCTCCCATGAGATATTCAGCGTTCATATGAGAACTAAGTACCTATAACTTGTCAGACATACTGATAGGTATGAAAGACAAAAAAGAGTAGCAAGACAACCATAATCCTTGCCCTCATGAAGCTTACAGTCTGATGGGAGAAACAGATAACCATATATATCAGTATACATTGTTAAAAAACTATAGGAAGGAAGATTTCTGTGAAGGAAGGGAATGTGGCTGTAGGAGGGGACATAGCAAAGGAACCTGTATATTAGGGGTCAAGGAAGGTTTTGAAGAGGTTTGGTAGAACTGAGATCTGAAAGATGAACATGAATAAAGAGCATAAGGAGAAGAGGGAAGAGCACTACAGCTCAAGGAACTAGCATATGCAAAGGCTCTGCAGCAGAAGTAAGCATAACAAGTATAGGGGAATCTGAGTCAGAGAGGCTAGAAAAACAAAAACAAAGAAATCAAGGAATAAAATGAAGCTGAATAGTAGAGTAGAAGAGACTAGAACATACAAGGTTACAGAGTTCCATGTTCACCCAAAATCAATGAGAAGCCACTGATGGGAACATTCAAACAGGTGTTATGGGTAATATGGATTACAGCAACCCTTTAAGAATGACAACAAGAAATTTCATCATGTTCTTCTTTACCAAATCCATACCACATCCATTAGATTTATATTCAGGCTAGAAAGCCCAAGTCCCAGATCTATTTATTATAGGAATTCTGACGTTCAGAGGACAAGAAACCAAACAGATCTTACCTGCACAACAGGAAATATGTGAATAAAATCCATTCCCTGGATCTGGTGGGGCTCCAGCTGGTGTGGACATTTCATCCTTGGAAGGACAGAGACAATCTTTTCTGATAGAGCTCTGTTCAGAAAAAACAAGCACAGAATGAGAATATCCTGAGAAGCCTTTAGACATTTCTAAAGTCTGGGCCGCATCCCAGAAGAACCTGATTTTTTCAGTGCCAGGCCAGAGCCAGAGCATCCCAGAAGAACCTGAGTTTTTCAGTGCCAGGCCAGAGCCAGAGCCAGACCATGACCAAGTTCCTCCTAGATGACTGAAAAATGAGAAAAAGCTGCACATCTATATGCATCTGAGGTTGCAAAACTTCCTTCACCATTTATTTTAAGATTTTGTCCTTTCTTAATTTTTTAAGTTAAAATATTTTGTTTCTTTATATGATGGTGATGTCAGAGGTGGCAGTTATTACTTGTTATCTTATGTGGTAAAATAAAATTATCGGTGTCCCATATTCTATTATATTTCATTTTACTGACYTTTTTTCTCAAAAGCCTGGGAACCATCAGGTTATATATAAAAAAATTGTTCTAAATACCCTTTCAACAAAAATAATTACCAGACACTGTAACAGGTGCCCAAGATATTAAGACAAAACATGGGCCTCATTTCTTAAAGAAATTTGTAGTTCTTAACTCTGACACAAAAATATTTTTTAAATAAATAGYAGCCTTTTTWAAAATATTTTAAAACCAGTTCTAAATTTGGGATGACTCTTATTTCATTAAGAAAGGAGAAAATTTCAACTTCTCATGAGGGAGACCCTGATCTCTCTCTAATACCTTGCCTTGGTCTCTTCCTATGGAATGGCTGGGGTTGAGAGGGGTGGAACCAGAGTCCCTGAGGTCTCTGAGCATCTTCCATCCTGGCCAGGAGGTAAGCATCTGCTTCCTACTGGGGAGGGTTCTCAGTTCAGTCTGGGAAGAATGGTTTTATCACAGGAGGAACAGAGGAGGATCTTGTGTGTAAGTATGTTCTGTCTCACTGTAGCTTTATCCTTCTTTCTCTAACCAACTGGTATTTCATCTCTAATTGTGTGATTCTGTTTTGTATATCTTAATCCTATTAGTTTAAGAGGAGAAAAAAGAGGTAATTTTGTGGGTCTGATAAAACCAAAAGCCATGGTATGAAGAGAGAGAACCTTTGGAAACAATTACCAGGCATGGCCTTGTGGAACCATATGGAGAAATAGAAACTTTGGCTCAGTTTCAGTCATATCCCCACTCAAGGGTCTTTTTAAAAAAATTTTATCACTAACAGCAGCAACTGTGGCATTGTTCACAAGTGCAGGATTATGCTTTCACAGACGAAGGTCCCGGTGAATTCAGGGTCACTCAGAGTGAACATGAGGTCACTGGGATCTTAGTAGATGCTTCAAATTCACCAAGTTTTGGGTCTACTCCGAGTGTTCCTTATTCAAAAATCTTTCTACCTTTGTTCTGCTGAAGTTTAATAGTCCTTCCCAGATAGCTTCCTTAATTAAGATCAACATTTAACTCAAGCCTGAGTGAGAGCAATGATTTTCTTACCAGTGTTCCCTAGTACGTTTCATGCTCTTAGTCTTAACAGGAACAAAGTGACCTAGAGGCAAAAGCTAAGCAACCCTCCAGGAAATGGCCTCCAGAGAACACCAAGACACAGAGTTTGTTGTCTGGAGAGTAGCTTAAGGAGGTGGATCTAGGGTTAAAACTGATGAATATGACAGACATATCCCATTAATCATAAGATCAAATATCGATTCCAATATGTTATGAGAAATAAAGTATGGGGAGGGGGTGACAAATGCTCCACAGCACTTTCACAAAGGGAAGGAGCATCCATCTTCTAGGGGAACCTTTTGAGGTAATGTTTTGCCTCCTCCTCACTCCACTTCATTAACAGAAGAGGAACGGAGAGGAATTGATCTAGAAGGCCTGGRGGAAGAAGGACATCACCTTGTGGCTCTCAGCCACTCCTGTGGTCTTATTTTCTCAGTATCTATCTTCAGGACAGCATATCATGAAATGTGTGGCCAGCTCCAGTGCAAACATCTATGGCTGACCAGGTCTGCCTGAGGCTTGAATAAGATGGCTTAGTAAGAAACAATTAACAAACCCACTTGGCAACATATCTAAGGCTTTCTCTTTGATAAGCTTTATTGTTCATTTTGATCTCCATGAGATTTCCACACCTGTTTCCTGATTTCTTTGTGACAGGAGACAAGAGTGGTTAGCTGCTACACACTCTCCAAGCTTAGCAAATACATATGGGCAGCAATGCTGGCTCTGAGTCTTTGCTCACCCAGGTCAGGCACCAGGGGGTAATACCAACACAACCTTGCCTTAGTTACATTTTAGTTCAGCAGGAGGAGCACTCCCTCTAGTGGCTGCAGACCCAGCAGCGTGCACAAGGTCAGCAATCATTGGGAATCCATTCAGTAGCTTAAAATCCCAACACCAGCACCTTAACCCTCTGCCTTCAGGCAGGGTTGCCTCTGGCTGTTCCTCACAGCTAGACTGCTTGCCTGGTTCATAAAGGATTACCTCTTTTACAACCCTCTTAAACTCACTTCCCAGAAATTACTGCCAAATCTGGACAGTCCCAGTGCAGATGAAAGCAGCTGAAGGCATTTACATTGCCAGGAGATGAGGCATGGAAGAAAACACAGGCAGACAAGGCAAGGGAGAATAGGAAGCCTTCTCACAGAAAGCCACTGGCCCCCACTCCTCCCTGGACTGAGGATGGATCCTTCAAATTCCTAAAAATTAAGAAAAGGGACAACTGCAGAGGTCACCAGGCAGGTTTACTAGCCTAAGGGTTTAACCTACCCACTTGTCATTATAGGCAATTAATCTGACTCCTTTTATTAAGAGTACTCAGAATTTTATCCTCCACTGCAGCTTGAAAGAGTGAATTAAACCTAGATCTAAATTCCAGTTCCACCACCCACTCTGGAACTTACTGAAAGTCATGTGGTTCCTCACTTTCCATAAAACCAGGGATAATTCTTGTCCTGCCTATTCAAAGGCTGTTGGGAAGGTTAAATAATAAAATGCATGTGCAAGTGCCTGGAACATGGGTGCCCTTGTCTGGAAGCCTCTTCCCTCAAGTCCTCGCTCCCATGTCCTCCATAGTGCCTGCCCTACATAAAACCCGAACCGCTTCCTACCCAGCATCTCTCCATACTCCTCACTGGCTTTGTCTTTCCCTACTAGTTATAAAGAGGGCAGTACATTTTTCATTAATGTATCCAAAGTACCCAGAATAGGTAGTAGCCTGACCAATAGTAAGGACTCAATAAACATTTGTCAAGTGAATAAATAAGAGAGACTCAATTCAACTGTAATATTTTGAATTTTCTCCTTTAAACAGTATCATTATGGCCCAGATAATATTTTCCTCTCTTGATCCCATCACAGTCCTTAGTTACTATAAAAAATTATTATAGATTTACTTTTAGAACCTGCTTGTAGATAAAGTATGAACAACTTAATTATTATAAATATCATGCCCTTACCATTTTTGTTTTTGTGATGCTGGGGATAGAACCCAGGGCCTAGCATGCTAGGCAAGTGCTCCATCACTGAGCTACAGGCACAGCCCTTATGCTCTTACCATTTTAAAGGTAATGTTGATAGATGGTAGCCAAAGGTAGAAGGAAAAACAGAGACACAAAAATGTACACTGCAAATAGTTAGAATCCAGGAGAAACTATCTTATTTTAGTGGATTAAGAAACAGAAGTCTAAGTAGTACAAAATTGTACAGACAACCACAAATAGGTAGTAATTAAAAGACTGGAAGATAGAAGATGAAGGGGATGCAGCAAGGAATGTAAGTGAGCTAATTTCCTATTTTTATCAGACTTTAATGAAAGAGACACAATTGTAGTTAAGAGCTGTAAAGTGACACTGCGAAGAATTTAAATAGTTCAAGATGGTTATTTCCAGGGAATAAAATTGGAATGTATAATGGGAAATGAAAGAGATATAGCTTTTGTTTTGCTCCCTTTTATAGTATTTGAATCTTTTTTACTTCATGGATATAACACCTACATAATAAAAACAAAAAAGAATAAAAATCTACCTCTGGAATTTGCCCTACAGGGGAGAGCATGGTCACATGCCTGAACTTATGCATTACCTCCTGGGAAGGACCTTTCACTACAGGTGGCTTGATGAGACACCAGTGTTCTAGAAGGGCAGATGTTAGGGATGTAAAGCCCAGTTATTCATGGTTAGATATTAATGAGTATGTATGCTGTGCTAATCAATGCTCTTTTTAATAAGGATCCTTGAGAGATGTCCTTTGGTCTTAGCACTACAAATTTTTTCAAATCTCAAGGACTGATTTTCCTTCTATTATATGTCTACTATGAACAGGTAATTTATCATGTTTTTCTTTTCAATGGTTACCAAAGATTTAAGGCCAAACCTTTGAATGATCCTAGGAAAACAAAGCATTTTGTGGATCATCCTTCATGTGGGATTGTGCCTTTTGTCCAATTTTCCCCCCTTTACCTTTGCTTCACTTTTCCACTATTACCAATTCATATGTATGTTTATAAGCCATCTTCAATCCTTTTGTGTGTGTGTGTGTGTGTGTGTGTGTGTGTGTGTGTGTGTGGTGCTGGGGATTGAACCCAAAGCCTTGTGCATGTGAGGCAAGCACTCTACCAGCTGAGCTATACCCCAACCATCTTCAATCCTTTTAAAAATGTTTTTTTTTTGGGGGGGGGGAAGTGAAAGGCTTAAAAAATTAATGAGAATGTATATGAGCTCATACACTTCTTATATTTAAGTGAACTGAGGAGTAGCCTGCACAAGGTCACAGCTGCTCCGTGGCAGCTGTAGAAGTAGAACTAGGTATCTAATGAAATAGTCAAGCCCCTGGTGGGATATGAAAGACAGCATGGAGCTCACCGGTAAAATCTCCAGCAAGGTGTCCATGTTGTCTTCTCTCAGTGGAGGGTAGAATGTGGCTCTGCCTTACACAACAGAGGCAATGGGAAGGGAAAGAATCTCCTCCTCCTAGTCAAATTTCACCCAATCAGTGTATTTGGGAAGAGATAAATTAAGTAGTCACTAGAAACTCTAATATATAAAATAAATTAGAAATAACTTGAACTTTAAATGACTCTCACATATGAGCTGGGTGACCTTGGCTTCTTTTAGCCTCAGTTTCATCTGTAGAACAGGAATAATATCTGCTGTAATGAAAATTAAAATGACATATATGAAGCACAAGCTTCTGGCACGTAGGGGACCCTCAAAAGTTAGTTCATTCATGTATGTTTATGGCTACTTTCACACTAAACCAGAGCTGAGCCTCTGTGACAGAAACCAGAGATGAAGCTTAAAATATGTGCTATCTAGACCTTCATGAAAAAGTTTTACTGACCTCTGATCTAAAGTAAAAATAGTAATAATGTACTGTGAAGTTTACAACACTGAAAATGATCACATAACACAAAGGGTAAGAAGGATTTAGAAGTATAGTGCTGTAAGGTTCTTACCCTATATGGGAAGTAATACAATATTTTTAGAAGATTGGTAGATATATTAAAAATTTATGCTATGAATATTAAGGCAGTCATTGAATTTTGAAAAGGAAATACAATTAGCAAGCCAAAAGAGTAGAACAGAGTCATAGAAAATCACCAAGTCAATGCAGATGAAGGTAGAAGAAAAAGATGAGGAAGAAAACAAACAATGGAATACAAAACAACTAGCAGTAGATTTAAACTCCACCATATCATAAATATATTAAATGTAAGTAGTTTAAACTTCCCAATTGAAACACACAAATTATCAGAATGGATAGAAAAGAAAGGGTGAAATACATGAGGCCTAAAAGAAAGCAACTTTAAAAATAAAACCAAAAATTACAATAAGTAATGTAAACAGTATGCCAGCAAATGCTAATCAAAAGAAAGCTGGACTAGCTATATTAATATCAGACTTAGTAGACTTCAGAATAAGAAACATTATCAAGGACAACTAAGATGACTACAGAACTCAAGAAGGGTCAGTTCACCGAGAGAGAGAAGAAACAAGGTTTACTGCCTGCTCTTAATTATTTCTTACAAAGATGCAAATGGCAAGAACAATTTGTTCTGAAAAATCACATATGGCTTTGGACAACATACTTTGAATATTTTCTATACGATTTATCTGACCCAGTTGCTATTTTCCTTAGTTTAATGCCATTAGTTTGTATTATCTAACTAACTAAACAATAACAGAAATGAAAAAAACAGAGAGGCTGGATGGTGAAGAGTAACCAATCTACAATCTACAGCTAAAAATATTAAGAGATGACCCACAGGTAAACATTTAAAGTTTGTTAAGAATAAATGCAAACACTATAATATGAGAAATGAAAAGGAATGTGAATATATACACATAGTTACTACATAATTACCCTCAAGAAAGTCCCTTCTTCCCTGCTTTAGGCCATTCCATGGCAAACCCTAATAACTTACATTTTTTGACCTATTGTAGAGTTTTCCTGAAAGAGCAAATCCACGTCTACATCAAAGTTGCAAGTAGTGATACACCAAGTCATTCCGCCTACTACCTGTACAAAAAAGAAAATACTTGTTTTCTCTTTCTAGCTCAGGTAATAAGCAGAAGGTAAATAAATTATAAATAATTATTACAGATCCATTAACACAGAAAATTATATATCTTTAAAGAAAGAATGTGCCCTGCTTACTACAATTCATCTAAAATAGCACTGTTAAATAAAACTTTCTGCAATGTTGGAAATGTTCTGTCTGCAATGCCCAGGAAGTAGCTACTGGCCACTTTAATGTGAATGAGAAGTTGACTTTTATTATTACATGGGCATACTATACATAGATCCTCTTTATAGTGAAGGTGTCAAACATTGATTTTCAGCTGAGAGATTTCTCAACCCAGTTTTAGGCAAGTGCTAGGTCCAGAGGAATCATGTGTTTTATAGACCAGGCATATAGGCATCAAGGCTGAGATTTTATGGCTCATTACACAATTTCTATATATCTTGTCACACTCATCTACTTAATGAAGATAAGAATCCCTACTCTGTTTACAGAGTTTCTGAGATGCAAATGAATCTATGCTAAAAACCCATTTTGAAACAAAATCCTTTTCAGATACAACTTGATATTAGAAAAAAACAATGGCGATTTTTTAGTTCTGCTTTACATTCATGTGAGATATTCAATAAAATACAAATTCCAGGGCCTCAGCCCAGACCTAGACTGGATAAGGCTAGACTAGATATGTGTATTATAAAACAACCCAGGGTGTTTAAGTACAGGGTGGAGTGACTGTTTCATCTCTGTGTCCTCAACACCCATTACTGTTTTATGTGTAATCACTATGCATGATTCTGCTAATTTTAAAGACTATCTTATAGTGACATCTTGCTCCTCCAAATTCAGAACATTTGCCATCTGTAGTGAATCTGTCAACTGTCTGTGAGCAGGCTGATTTAGGATAAGTAATTATTAACTCAGATTAGTTTCTTACATAAACTTTATAATCCCCAAACTGTAAATTCCTTTAACAGAAAAACAATTTCTTTTGCCTGTCTGTATTTCCTAAAACTGTGCACAGAAAAGGAATTCAAGTATATCTACTGACTCATCATTAATTTCTTTGAAAAGGAAGCTGGAAAACTTCCACAATAAATTTGTATCAGGGAGAATGGAAACAGAGGAAGTAAAGCATAGTTTGTCGCTTCTTTTTTTGCMATGGTTAATTATGCCACCCTTAATGGTTAGAAAGGTTTCCTCTTACCTTGTCAAAAGGTGACAAGCCTTTAATTCTTGCTCTGAAATACCCAGCTGCAACTAAGAGTTCCAAAATTTCGGTCAACTTCACATTTTGTTCTTCATCTTCTCTAGTTTCTACCTAGAACAAAAAGTACAAGTGTTGCTGGTAAAAGCTACCTTAAATAAACCAGAGCCAATCATATCYCCAGTGCCACAATCTCATTGCTCAGTGACGCTGGCTAAATTGCTGCACTGGATTTGCTCGAAAATTCCAGAAGTGTAATAGAGAACTATGTAGAAGTGCTGCCAGAGTCTCCAAGAAGAGGGTTCCTCGATGAGCTGTTAGTCATCAGAGGTAGAGGGAGAAATGACAGTGCATCACTCCCCTTTTCTCTAAATGCAATTTTCTTTCTTTTTTGAGACAGTGGTTTTTCTATGTTGCCCAGGGTGGCCTTGAACTCCTAAAGTACCTGGGATCATAGGTCTATGTCACCACACCTGGTTTCAACGCATAGCTATCTTGATGGGTTTCTCAACTAGATTATAAACTCCATGCACATAATAACAAGGTATTTTGTTTTTGTTTTAAACTTTATATTCATTCAGGCCTGGGAAGCTACTGATAAAGTAGGAAGAAAGGAGGAAATTAAAACATATATCCCTTTCTGCACTTCCCTTTTTCATCTTTAACACAAATACAAGGAAGGCTTTCAGCCCAGATATATTAAAGGGTTAAATGCTACTACAGTTACATAATACATTATTACCACTAAATAGAATTACTTAAAAATAATTAATTAATCTTACGTGTAAATTGAGATTTCATTTAAAATTTYCAATTTCTATGCCTCCTCACCTAGGTATTTAATATTTATTAAATTTGCCTAAATATTCTAGCACTTTTACTTTTATAAACCGCCTTTCCTCTATTCTATTATTGTAGAAAATCAAAAACCACCTTTCTATATAATACAACACATGTTCAAATTCTCATTCTCATCTCTTACTAGTCCCTTATGAAACAATGCCTGTCAAATCTTTCTTTAGTATGCATCTCACATTTATCTTCCCCTTTAATTCATATTCGATGCCATCATTATTGCCACTTCCTCTCAATCTTTCTTCCCTGTTATTTTGTCTAGCTCAGCCCTTCTTAAAGCTTTCACATTATCCCTCTTTTAACACKTCTCACAGTCCTCATTACAATCCCTATTATGTACTATATCTATAAGATAAACTCCAAATTTCTTGATTTGGCACTTAGATCTTTGGCTGTAACTTATCTTTCCAGTTTCATTCTTTATCTGCACTCCCTCCAAAAAAATGAATAAATAAAACAACCTGAACATGGCTATGGCCAACTGACACAAGCATGCATATTCCAGTTTCTTTACTATTCACACCATCCACCTTCCCTTGATATTCTCTAACCATTCAGAAATAACCTTCAAATTCTAGCTCCTACTAGAAGCCACCCCTTACAAATCCAGCCAGAAATGGTCATTTCTACACCTGCATCTTGTGTATAGTTCATGTCATTCATACAATTAAGTATCAGCCTTTCTTGAGTGACCTGTCTGATGTTATGTACATGTCTGTCTTTCCCACTGGAATATTATCTGGTTCAGGAGAGGAGCTATATATTACACATGTGTGTTTACTCCACTATATCAAAATAACATTCAGTTCAAAGGACATACTTATTTAATAAGGAATGACAAACTCAATCATTACATAAAGTGCATGACCTAAACCAATCATGTATTAAAATGTTTTCATAGTCAGGATGCTGATAATAGAAAGTCAAGTTTACACTTAAGTACAAACTGAAGTACAAACTGCCAGGAAAGGGAGAATAGATATTAATGTGAAGTTGAACACACAATTATTAAAATGACTGATAATCCTTTGAGATGGCATAGGATTGGGTTGGGAGAGGTGACAACTTTGGACTACAGCTCATTTCATCCATCCTCACTTCTCGAATGACCCTCTATTCAGCCTGTTAAAGTTTCTAAAGATTAGCATTCACTAGTTCCTAGTGCATTTATAAAAATAAAGTAGTATTATTTATTCACAACTTCTCTCTGTTAGCATAATTGCAGCCATCTTCCTTTTCTCCACTCCCACTTTATGAATAGTGTTCTTATTCCCAAGAATTGGAAAGTAGCCTGAGATAAAACCTACCGGCCTAGAGACATGTTGGTCTCTCTCTGTTCTCTCATTGAGAGATAGAAGACAACTTACTGGCCCCTGAGATGGGGACGTACTAGTTACCCTGTTCTCTCCTTGAGAAGAAAAAGTGACATGYCAGTTTTCCTGTTCCCCCTCTGAGATAGGAAAATTGCCTGTTTTTGTTCCCAAGAAACAAATTTGCCTTCCACAAGATCCGGGGATGCTTACTATGTCAGTCAAGACCAAACCCTCCCCTGGTGTGCAGTCATGATTCTAACCTATAAAAGGTAACATTCAAGGGGGAGTTGCTGCTGTTCTCTCTCTTGCTGCAGTAGTCCCTCTTTTTGCAGAGCAGCCTTGTCAGGCTCCTGACAATAAACCCGCTGCCTATCCCAGATCTGTGTGTAAGATTAGTCCTGAGCCACTTTTCTTTCCCTCTCACTTATGCAGAAAGATCTGTGATGGCTGAGAAACATCAAATAAAGAGATCAAAGAAAAGATAAAAAGAACTACTCTCAGGAAGACAGAGCAGAAAAAGAAAATAAATATATAAATAAATAAATTATGATATAAATAAATATTTTCTTAAAACTCCTAGGGTGTAAAATAGAAACCCTTTATTTGGTCAATCATTTTAAATCATGAAACAATTCTAAAAGAGGACATCASATAACGGGTGGGAGATCTCTGCCTCAAATTTTATCCATACCCAGAATGGAGGCGTGCACTTTTGCACTAAAAGCTGTGAAAGAACTTCTTGGCAGAAGATACTGGAACTAGGATGTCTGACTCCAAATTTTCTTTGCAGATTAACACTGAAACAAAATGGAAGAGGACCACTAGCTAAATACACAAGAAATACAATTACCCTTCCTGAAGTCATAAAAAGTCACCAAGATAATTAATATACCCAGCAGTTAAAACTAAAATTCTGCTAAAGTTGAATGAATGCTAGCTCTTAAAACAGCCCAATAAAGTTTGAATTGCTTTGCCTGGAAGGCAGGGCCAAGTGTGATTATCTTTGTATTTTTCACATACATACAGTAAAGCGTTAAAAATTTCATATATCAACTGGACTAGTAACTGCTTGATAAAAGACTGGGTTTTCAGTACTAAGTTGTTATATTCACCCTGACTTCTTCCTAATTGTGGGGAACTGTCTTAGGCTCTTGGAAATGAATGACAAATCAGACCTAGTCTCCTAGCAGTCACTGAAGGGATAACAAAGGACACACAGGAGCAGACTGGGAATTATTTTAGAAAGACACACATTGGTAATATTGTGGGAAGTTGGAAGGTTTAAGGAAGATGCTACAACAAAAGCCAACATAAAAACTTGATAAAGGCCTAGAATTTAAAAATAGCAAAGAAGAAAACTTGAACTATCAGAGTACAGATCTTATTCTTTATAATTTCAGGTGAAATCAAAGCAACATGGGTGTAAGGATTTACCTAATACAGGAATTCTGACAATATTACACTTGCTAGATTCTCTTAAGATAACAAAATGGATTTGCATTCTGGGAACACACACTGATGACTATGTTAGTCCTTCCATCGCTTCCATCCCCAGCTGGACACAGAAAATAGTGATTCTTTAATTAGTGGGATGGAAGAACTAGGGGCACAGAGAAGCCAGACTRGTCACAGGAGGGTAAATGTAAAGGGAACACTCATCATGTTAAGAAATCAGTCCCCCTGCCAAGTGCCTTAGGAAGAGGGTAAAGATGCAGCGTGGGTGGATTCCATTTCTCTCTGGAATCTAGTAAACTATACTAGCTTTTGAGTAAATCAACTGGAAGGGAAAACAAATGCAAACCACCTAGTTAAATATATACAACTAGAAGACAAAGCACACAGTCTCCTTACTCCCAAACTGGAAGCACATAGAGAAACCACTGTTCCTAGGACTGAGCACTTAATTACAAACACCTTTGAAAAAGCACCTGCTATTTTCTGGAGAAGCAGCAACGTTTCCGGACAGCTGGGGCTTGGTCCCTGGCCCACACAGCACCATCAGGAAAGCGCGTTCCCATCCCGACAGGACCCCAGTGAGAGGAGTGCTCCCAAACTTCCTCTCGCCGCCCGGAATGGGGTTAAATGCAAGGAGAGGGTCCTTCGCTCGGGACCGCAGGATGGGTGGGGTAGGCCGCCGGGACCCGGCATACCTGGAGTGAGCGGGTGGGCCCCCCAAGGTCACCGCCCTTTGCACAGCCCAAGCCCGGACAGTCCAGGCGCCCAAGTCTCGTGACTCCTGAGCTTAGCAGTCTAAGGCGAGCCCTGCAGCGCAGAGGGTGGGCGAGACTGTCTGGGAGACCCAGAGTGGTGGAATCCCCGGCACTGCGGAACGTGCAGCTGCGTTAGATCAGGTGTGCGGCCAGGAAGGCCCTCCTCCGTCCCAGGTGACCCGGGAGCCGCTTAACTTTGGCCCCACGGACCCGTAGCCACCTCGACACGCAAGGGAACCTGCTCTCCCTCCTCCGAGGTCAGGGCCAGTGCTTCCCCAGAGTGGACACACCCGGGCAAGGGGTTGGGGGCACTCCCAACCCATCCAGGCCCTTCTCCACCCTGCGTCCCCCGGCTCGGCCCTCTCCTCAGGAACCCCGGCGTGACAGAGAGAGGTCCTTACCTCTGGAAGACCCTGGCCCTCCGGACCCTTGGGCAACCCCATGACCCGGGGGGTGACGTGGGGCGGCAGCTAAGCCCGCCGCGCGTAGGGAGGAAGTTGTCCCCTCAGCTAAGCTGCTACCGGGGTGGAGCGCAAAGCGGAAACTTCCTCCACCGCTGCTACCGCCGCCGATGCCGCCGGCCCGGGGCGCCGAGGCCGGGCGGAGCATGCGCGTTGAGGCCGCAGCGCGGCGAGACTGGGCCTGCGCGAAGGCAGCTGGGCGAGGCTGGGCGGAGCCTGGACCTCTAGTACCTGCTTGATGCAAGAGCTTATCGCTGGGGCTCTGATTTTTGTCCCGAAAAGTTTAATGAAAGTTTAATGAAGTCTTCTTGCATCTTAAGAATGTTTTGCATCTCGGTTCCCTTTCCGTCCTTTTCTAAGCATCGGGTGTCCCAGTTGGGTCCGGTTCTCTCCACAAGCCGGACTTCGGAAGCTCCCTAGCTTCAGAGTCAGAGTTCGAGCACCAAGGAGTTTAGGAATACCAGATCCCGGCCGGGTTCCAGCTCTGACTAAGGCGCACTTGGGCAAGTTTCTCCGCAACTGAAACAGGGGACGGGGCCCCCGAAGAAGGGATTCTTCATGCCCACTGTCCTCCACAGCGTCCCATCCAGTGGCATCTAGTTCCCGGGAAACCCGCTGGGAAAATGCCCTCTGCCTCCCCGGGCTTCAGCTCTTTCCCAGCCCGAATTTCTGGGTATTCCTAGGAAGGGAACATCTCAGAGAATGTGAATCCTGGTTTGAAGTCATTTTAGCTGCTACGTATGATACACTCTTTGTCTGTCCCAGAGGATGGCAGCTATATAAAGGGTTGTCCCTCTGATGAGCGTGCTACAGCTCTATAAGGGTTTCCCCAGCATTTTTTCTTTCTCTTTTTAAGAGATGAACACAGAGTAATCCTTTCTCTGAGGAGTGGGAAGTGTGAGACTATAAACTGATTGAAATCAAAGAGGTTTTGTGTTTGCTTTTTTTTTCCTCTTTGCATCCCTACCATCTTTTTTTTTTTTTTTTTAATGACTCAATAAATGTTTCCCCTTGAAAAAATTCTCTGCGCTTTTTGCATTCCTCCTTGGAGTTTGTCCTGACAACAGAGACTTGTCTGGAACCAAAGCACAAAAGTCAACCGGCCCTAAAGACATAATTTTGTTCTTAAATGTAGGTAGCAAATAATTCATAAAACTGTGTGCCATCCTCCAATCCCCAGGTTACTTGAGAAATTACTTGACAAATCTAAATATTCAAGTAATGGAAACTCTCCTGTCTGGGTTGTAGAACATCTCACTCTCACCTACCAATGAAACTCAATTTCCAGGGTTCCTATACTCAAAACTCCCCAAATATTTTATTTTTTTAAACCTTAAAACTGTCCTTCACTAAAATGGTATAGGTTGAGAGGGAATGGAGAGTGATGATCATTTGTGGCCATTCAGGGTAAACAGAGCCTTAAGACAAATAGCCAAATCTTATAAAGCAGATGAACCTAACTAGCTGTATATAAAGTAGCCCAGTGGAAAGGGCCTAGAGAATAACAGGACTCAGAGAGGCTACACCACAGGTCATCTGTTGTAAATGCCTTTGCAAAGTTTTAAATAATGATGAGCAACTGACTCTCCCAGAAAAAAAAACCAAAACTGTCCTAGTATTTTTTTTTTTTTGAAGATGTCAGATAGTGGTCAAGAAAGCTGAAGCAACACATATTTAAGAGGGGAAACTCTGAACAGTCTTAGAGAAGATCTTGAATGGTGACAGAGGATATTTGTAAGGAACATCTCAAATAAATGCACTGTACTCCCTTTCCTCTGGCTGCAGGTGTCCCAATACACTTTCTGTCTCCCTTGTGGGCTATCTGGGGGATTAGGAATCAGTCATTCTATCCTTTTCTCGTACATTCAGTACAAATCATGTGATGTTCTTTCAATATCAAGATTCTCCAGATCCTCACAAATACAGGTTGTCATAATAAAAAACCCTCTGTTAGGATCACCTTTACCCTGGATGAAGATTTCTATAAAATCTCAATCATTTGTGCTTCTAGGCCTTTGCCAATCCTAGTACTCTAGGCTATTGCTATGACCAAGAAGAGGAATCATGAAATCCTAAAAAAGGAAGGCCTTAGAAGGTATCTAGTACAACAATGGGTATTCAGAAAAGTAGAGTGACACTCCTAAGTCCCACAGCATGTAGGTGACTATGCTATGATTTGAAGCAAGATTTTCTGATTTGCAGTGTACTTTTAGTCACCCATCTATCCATCCATCCATCCATTAATATTACTGAGTTCCTTCTGTGTCAGTGGCTCAAGTTTTTAAGTCCATTGAAATCACTTAGTTCTATTCTCAGAGTGTCTGATTTCAGTAGTCTGGGGAGAGACATGAACATTGGATATTTTTTCCCTTGGAATATATGCATTTTATATAATACAATAGTGAATGGTGACTTCCTGAGTACAGTATGTTTCTTTATAGATCAAAGTGGCACAGAAAATTCAAAATCCTTAAGTAGATTAAGTCTTTAGGTTAAATGAGTTCTTCCTAAAAATTCTTAATTGTGTCCTTATCTATTGTTAAGGTTGTAAAACATTACCATGTATCATCCTATATTTAGCATTTCTACAGGAAAATAATAGAGGCCAGGTGTTGGAAACTGACTTAAACACCCTCTACTTCTAGACAGAAGATAAAACAGCCTAGCATGAATACATATCTCWCWCACACACACACACACACACACACACACACACACACACACATTTGGATGATTTCTTCCAGTACGTTTTCTAAAATAATGATAGTTTTAATTAACAAGATTCAATCATTTTCATAATTTTCACAACCACACTCTACATTAAAAAGAATTTGACAAGGAATCACTACACAGCAGTGAGTATACATGCTTGAGAATATTTGCTACATTCTTAATTTCAGAGAAAACAATAACATTCTTGCTCAAGAGATTTAATAATTAAGCATTGCTTATAGGGGAAGGACAAGTGTATTATTAAGCCAACACAGGTGATTCCAGTGAGCAGCCAATTTGACAAGAGTTTGTGCTAGAAACTGTTCTTGGTTTTGGAGATATTGCAACCAACCAACTAGACAATTGGTGAAAGAAATTAAGTATCTAAATTAATAAGATAATATTGGGTAAAAATAAGTGCTATTAAGGGAGGAAAAACTGTATAGCAGGATAGYGCATAGCTGGAGTCAGAATCTCTTTTAGAGGAAGGGGCCAGGATACGACTGACCCTTGTCATTCCCAAGCAGATACAATGAAGAGACCCCAGGGAAAATAATTCTCAGCAGAAGAAGCATCTGAGGTGTTCTGGACAGSTTCCCTGTCCAGACAATCGGCCTTCAGCCTTCTCTCCTTGTTTCCTGCTATACAAAGCTGACCTGGAAGGGCTTCAACAGCAAGGCCTGGGATGTGAGGATCTAGGGTGGGTCATGATGTAAGGGGATCTACAATGTGATTTCTGTGGGTTGAGGATCTGAGTCATGGCACCTGGGGAGTAGGATTTGAATAGTAATTTAGCAAATATACAAGAACTTAAATATCCTTGAATATGATACTTCTACTCAGGATTTATGTACAGAGATCTTCGTCAGAATATTACTGCCAGAAAAACCTGTGTTATGGTTTGGATATGAAGTGTCCCCCCAAAGCTCTGGTGCTGATACAGGAACATTCAGATGATGGGATTGTGAGACCTGCTTCCATCCTACTTTGAATAAACTGGCTGGTGGTAACTGTAGGCACATGGGTCATGGCCAGAGAAGGTGGGTCACTGAGGCCATGCTCTGGAAAGTTTCATCTTCCCTAGAGTGGAGCAGCACTCCACCATGCTATTCTGTCCATCTTGGGCCAAGAACAATGGAGTTGGCCAACCATGGATTGAACCTCTGGAGCCATAATTCAAAATAATTTTTCCTCCTCTAAGTTGTTCTGGTCAGGTATTTTGGTCAGAGCAATGAAAAGATGACTAATACAACCTGAAAATCATGTAAACAGACCACAATAAGGGCATAATTAAATATATTACAGTATATTCATTTGGTGCAACATGTTGCCTGTGAAAATATTTTAGCAGTCCACAAAAAGAAAAGGGTGAGAGATGAGGCTATATAAATATTAACAATGTCTGCCTGTCAAAACATCATTAAAACATTTAAAAGGCAAACTGGAAAAAAAAAATGTTCATTACCTGTGACAAGAAACCTTACAAATGAGGAAGAGAAAATTCAATAGAAAAATGAGCGTGAGAGTTGAATAGAGAATTCCTGAAGGAAATTGTCACTAAACACATGGAAAAAAATTCTCAGCCTCATTTTAAAAAGAAAATGAACGATCTTTTTTGCGTGGAAGAAATAATTAATATTTTGAGGACATTAAACAAATGCCAATAACACTCCCTAGTCATTGAGTTTTCACAACAGAACGAGAAGGCAATTTGGCAAAGTTTATTTTTCACCAAATATCCATTCCTTTAGTGCTTACTGTGTGCCAGGCATCAAGAAGAGTTCTAAATAGGGGTGAGAGGAGTGCCTGGGCACCCAAGGGGCATTTGGAGTTCTATAGAGATTAGGAAGCTGTCTTAGTCTGTCGTGGATTCTGTAACAAAATTCCATAAGGTGGGTGGTTTCTAAACGACAGGAATTAGTTTTTCACAGTTCTGGAGGTGGGGAAATCCAAGATCAAGACAGTATCAGATTTAGTGTCTGGTGGGAGACTGTTTCTCATAGGTGGGCTGCTTCTCACTGTGACCCTCAATGACCATGACARATGGGGTGAGAGACTTCTCTGGGGACCCTTTTATAAGGCCCTTAATCCCATTCATAAAAACAGAGCCCTGATCCCCTCCAAAGGTCCCACTTCCTAATACCATCAACTTAAGGGCTAGAATTTTAACCTATGAATTTTAGCAGAATACAAACATTCACGCCTTAGCAGGGATATTACCACCATTTAGCACTCAGCTGTTACAGATGGCAAACTTCCTGCATTGACATTGAGTCATAAGAATTTCTTTGACTAGAGGAATGTGGGCAGATATATGATCGTGCTATGTTCCTTCATTCTCTCATGCTAGTGCCATCTACTGCAAGAACATACCCAGGCCTCCACGGCTTCTTCTGCTTGGGCCCTTGAAGGGA